GTCAGCTCTTCACCGTCTTCATCTTCGGATACGCCTTCCTCAGAATCAGTCTCAGAGTCCTGGTCTTCTCCATCCGAGCCATATTTCAGCTTTACTGTGAAATTAGTTGGTCGATGAATGCTATAGATGTAGAATCAAGGATGACGAACGCTGTTCAAGCTCCTCGCGCTCTTTCTTGTACTGGAATGCCTTGGCATAGTGCTCGTTTATTGTGAGCTCAAAATCCGAGTCTGGCTCTGCGTCGGAGAGCAGCGACATTGGGAGAAGAAAAGAAAATTATGCGAGCGCTTACTTCAGGCGCTATTTTAGATAAGATAAGATGATGGCATCGATTGATATCCAGAGATCTCCACCATGCAGCCTAGTTTCTTTTTTTAAATTTTGTGAAACGTTGCTCTTATCAGACTCTCAGAGGAGACTCCCGCCACTATAATTAACCTCCGAGGCCCGTGGACCTTCAGGCAACACCAATATCATCTCCTTAGGATCTGCAAGGCATAAGGCTAAGCTCCTCTTTGTGGAATAATTAAGCCACTATGCGCTACGCGCAATAACCCCGGCTGGGGACTAACGTGCTGGGGAGGTACAGCAACGCTCACGTTTCGGCCAGCACATACTCGAGTTCCTATCCATGTCCCGGGCCTGGCCTCAGCCTCAGCTCAATGTGTCCGAATTTGCCATGCATATCGGCTTCCAAACTATAATAGTATGTTGGCGCTATCGACGATGGTTCATGTGCCGAGGGAACAGTCACTCCCTCGAAAGCCCGGCACCAAACTTGGTTAGAAAATCTGGCAGAACTTAAGCTTGAGGCGAGAACACTGAAAGGTAGTACCAGCTTCGTGTCGGCAAGTTATACCTGCTTACAACGAATCCAAAACCTTGAAATGCACAAAAACCCTCGATCGATTGCCAGTAAGTATTCTACAATCCAAGTATAGCCAAGTACAAAGTAAAGCAATAAACACGAAAGCATAAAATAAAAATACATAGAACAGTTATGGGTAATACAATTGTAATGTCCGTATCGTCAGTCTGGAAACAAATTATCGCTTATGGCGATAGACTACCGCTAGAGGTACTAGGAGTGGGCGACAGTGGAGATATGCATGGTTGAGTTTGAGTCTGCACGCCATCCTCGAGGCTACTTCGTTGGCTTCCCGCCGATTTAATACTCATGTACTCCTCCATTCCCGAATTGGAAGTCGACAGTTCCCGAAGATTGATGATGAGTACACCCTCAGCTGACATATTTGTCTGAGAGCGGAGAGGAAGAGCGATTGCTGCGAAGGAGCAGAAGGGTTAGCCTGAGACGCGAATAGTAAATAGGAGGACTCACTAGCTTTACGATCCAGACTTCCTTGCATCTTTCTGAGTTTCCGTAGTGTATACGTCTCGGTGGACGCATGCACTGTGGTAGTTTTGGAAAACTTTGAACGACTCTTTACATGGAAAGTTATTGACGCAGATGGAGAAAGCCACAGTCTAAGGTACAGAGCATCTAATTAGCTCAAAATCCCATGCGTTAAGATTCGACTTACGGTCCGAGATTATCAAACCACTCTGGTTCATCCACGCTCCTGCATTGAACTGCTGACGTCGAAAGGTATGCTTTTTCTTTCGGTAGATCTCCTGTAACCTTCATGCCCACAAGAGCATTGCTGGGCTTTTTGCCGTGTTTGGGAGAAAAGAATCTTTGTGTGCCGATGACTGTCCGTGTGCGATAAGCTATCGGAAGATGGTAAAGTATTATTCTCCCACTTACCATGGAATTGTACGCGCTGAGAGGATTCGGAGTCGGAGTCACTGCGCAGCGAGTTAATGGGGTGAACTGGAGATGATTAGACGGCTACTCACTCAGCACAAAATTGAACATTGGCAGCATTCATGTCGAGAAGTTGGATCATGGTTAGATGAAGAGTGAGTGGTGAGGTTAATTTAGAGAGTGGACGGAAAGTGTGGCAACTAGAGGATGCCAAGGGAAGTCCATGAAGAGCTTTATATATCGGAGGACCACATTGTACTTACATAGGTGTAGTCAGCCGACGCAGTCATGCAGAGCTGTACACCTTCCCAATTTGGGCGAATGAGGAAAAAATTTCCGCTCTACAGCTTTTGAAGTTATTGCATCATCTGGGACAGTGGCGTGCTTGTGTCACATTGAAGCTAAATGCCGTCGGCCATGGCCGTTGTACAGGCCTTGAAATCGGGGTCTTGACTCCAGAATACTGTGTACAGCCAGGAGGGTCCGTAAAGCAGTGCCTCCGATCCACTGCGGCGCCGGGAAGCTGTGAGAGCTATGGTCGGTCTTTCAGGGAGTTTTTTCTTTTTGCCGAGAACCGTAAAGTTAAATAACCGTTTTCCGAGCGTGTAGAGACGGTAATGATAGGGCCAAGATGCCTGTTGAGGCACCTATCCATCCGGATCGGTGAAATAAATTTAGCTTGCATGTTTAGCGCGTGCCTGCGCATGCATCATTAGATGAACGCTAGACTTTGCAAGCAAGGCGTAGTTGAGTTGTGCTGACTGATTTCAACATGTACAGAGATGCAAGATCTGAAATGGCTGTTGAATGCAGGTGGCCAGGGGGAAGTCATTGCATGGAAAATCCGGGCCGCAAGACGACCACGTGGTGGTCACCCTTCTCAGAATTTTGGCACGCATCCACCATGGCATCGAACGTGGAAAAACTTTGCAGAATCGTCTCTTGCCTAGGAGGACCATCGTATTCTCCCAACGAACTCGAATGGGCTACTCAAATTACGGCAGGAAATACTTTAATCAATTGGATCGTCACTCAGTTACCTTCGGATATTGACATCGACGATGATTGTTCCTTGCGTGCGGCTCTTTTAAGGATTGCTTTGGAGGATGAAGAAGTTAAGATGTGTGTTTATTTCCAAATACTATCATACCATCTCATCAAAGATAGGTTGCAGCAATGCGGGGCGCCAACGTCCAATCTGAAAGCTGACCTGTCGAATTATGTTTCTCCGAGTCGTCAAAGGTTGCTAGGCTGTTAAATTTTGTGCCACTGGACGCCTAAATTTATTTGATGCTCCAGCTCTCGCACTGCTCTCGTTGAAAATTCAACATATGCAATTGAAAAACAAGTCTCGCTTCTGCAACATAGACTACGCCAGACAAAGTATGTACAGACAATTTCCGTTTATTCATCCAGCAGTTTAAACCCGATCACCTAGAGCTGTCTCTCATCAATTACAGAAAACAGCTCATGTCATAAACGCGGAATTGGAGCGGGTTCAAGGCGGTATAGATGCAAAGCAAGAAGAGCTTGAACTGCTGTCAATGAGAGTATGTTCAGTAGTTTTTGCCTCTCGTACCTATGCCGATATTTTGATGTGGCTCTACAGGCAGACAGCACCATCTCAAACAATTGTTCAAAATATTCCGAATTATTCAAATTTCTGGAAGAAAGTGTGTGGGCTACACCGACTTAACCCTTCGTTTGACTTCACACTTATCTTTCAGACCTCAAGCCGGATAGTTCGGTCGCGTTTCTCACTGAGTGCCTGGATGACCGTACCCAAATCATTCAGAGAGTTTCCAATCAGCTAGCATGCATCGACACATGGAAGGCTCGGCTGCCAAGCACTAAAAATCTTGACCTCGAAGTTCTGCGCCTGGAGAATGCTCTCGGAATGGGTGAAAGTGCAGCAAGCCTCGTGTTGTCGGCGGAAGAAGTGGCCTACAATCAACATCTGAAGGTACTTATCAACACACTCGAGGCGGTTGACGGAGATGATGGGGAAATATACGATATTTTACAAGAAGTTAGGATAGAAGGTTTCTCCCACCATCCCCCGGATATCGGAAAGGAACTCGAACTAGCTTGGAACAGAGATCAATACACCATTCTTAAAGGTTATGCATCTGTGCTGGAAGAGGTGACCGGAACTCACACTCACTTACAACATTCATATTCATTCCATCTTTGCTCTAGGCTTCTTCCCAATTTTACCAAACAGTTTGTTCTCTGGAGAACCTCCACACCGTCTTGGCAGAACAGGATACTATTATTCAAAAGACGCTGGCGACTCTCCGTGATTTACAGCAGGAGTTGGACGCGATTGAACAGGATTTGGCAGGTGCCACAGCCAAGAGTCATCAACGGACTCCACACGATTCCTTCCCAAATGCGGACTCTGATTCAGAAATAGAGGAATCCCAACTGAAGGGGCTATTGAAGAGACTACAAGGTTTCAGACCATCTGATTCGTCTCCCTTAGTTTTATTAGATCAGAACGATGTGTTATCCGAGCTTGAATTATTGAAACGCAGAGAGGAGTCTTTGAACGTTCGAGAAGAACAGTGGTGTTCTTCGATTCCTATGGCATTAAACTCACTGTAGGCTCTCGTTGAAACTGCGCCTTTTTCATTTCGGCTGATTACCATTCACAGGATGTCCATGCAAGAGCCTGCGTTGACAGCAACCTATAGTCATTCAGCTATGAATACGTCTCCGCCATACCAACTATCTCCGTCTGTGGCTATCCTTCAACGTGAGGCGAAAGTTAAAAGCGAGGTTCTGTCCTCGCAAGTCCAGCGTCTCCAGAAGGTATGTTTACAAGTTTACAAGTCGATAATTCATCTCCCACTTGCTCGCTGGTACCATGTGTCTAATGATTCTGCAGGACATTTTAATATTGGATGATAATCGAACACATCGCAAGCTCAAGGCTTTTGTTGAACGCTGGAATTTGTTGTCCAAGTAGACCACTTCGTGTTTAGTACTCGCAGTAATGAACTGACTGAGGTTCATGCGTAAGTTCTTTATTGCTCGGCCTTTTTACGCACGTTTGGCTCCTTGGTGAACGTTCAACCTGAAGGTATTCGAATCTAAATTAACAAGTTATTGTTTCGTGGTAGCATGAGGGATTCAATATCTCCGTCGTTCTTTCTTGCTATAACAGCTAAAGGAGTAAGTAGATTTCACACTGCAAGATTAGTAGTAGTACTGTAAAAATATTCAACCATCACTCCCTGGCTGGGAGTCGAACCCAGCTTTCGCGCGAAAGCATCTTGTGATGACGGTTGTCAAATGACAGGCGCGTGTACTAACCGATATACTACCAGGGATGATGAGTTTTAAATGAATCTTATACTGCTGTTTATGATCATGATCCTGGCCTTTGTTCCTGTAAAATTGGATAGATTGACTTTGTCATGGTTAGAAGCAAGCATGCTCTAGCAGGAAGTTCGCTGCATGCTAATTAATGAAGGTTCAGGAAACAGGTAGGAACTTGAACCAATACAATTATTTACTATTGCCGCCATATTATGTGGACCCAGGCGATACCGCTGCAGACCAAACTGACGATAAAATGCCTGCAGATGTGTGATAGCGAGATTATTCGAATTCCTAGTATAAGGTTGACGCTAAAGAAGGTGCCACCTTAGAATATCGGCTTCAAAGTCAAAAGTAGTGGAATGCTCTGTAATCGAGTGGCGAAAGCGGTGAGAATTGCATGGGAGCCTGAGTAGTCGCTGTACTATGTACTTGGATGAGAGTTACGCGTAGTGTTCCGGACCTGAATTCTGGTAACTATTCCAAAACACGAAATCAGAGACTCAGACTCATGGGAACTAACGCATACGGTGGCGGTATGGAATGAAGAAGAAGTAGAGAAACGTAGTAGTGATATTGGCGAGAGACTCGTCTGGAGCTTGATCACAACACCGCGAATGTATTACTTGTAATACTGACGTCTGGACTCGGTGACGATCGACGATCGGTCTATCAGTATGACGAAGCATCTGCAACAAGCATCTGCAACATTACCTTCATGATCTGGCCAGAAAACAGCATTTCTACGCCCAAAGCTCAAACGATAGTTCGCGCCCACAGGTATTTGAACTTCCCCGACTGGAACAGTGTAGATACCGAAGAAACCCTGCCGTTTCGAAAGGAGCTTGAAGAGAAATTGATCCTGTAGGTGATAACATTTGACATAGTATAAACACGTTCTCATCTCTACTAGTGTTGAAGAATGTGCACTCAAACTCGAACGAGGCAACTTCATCGACAAGTATTATTGCAAGGGATCTTTTGAACAAAAGGTTGACGCACTGAGTGCTGCCTCATACGCCTACTCCACGTCCATGGAGGCTAGTGGTCGGCCCATCCGAGCCCCAATTCCTTGCAGTCACTGTGTTTCGAAGCTACACGATCTTGGCCTCAAAATTTGTGGGTGTGCACAGCCACCCCCTGAACCGAAAGTGAAGCCTCTGTTTCACCCATGTCGGAAAGGGTGTCCCGTCTTGGGAGACTGGGTTTTAAAGCTTACAATCGCGCATTGGGCACAGAGGAATCTTGATCGTCATTTTCTTGCCAATCTTATGGCTGAACAAGAAAAGTATGGGTGGAGAGGTTCAGAAGGCCGTGACGATTCTGTTAATGAACATGCTCTCACGAAACTGGGCTATTTCCTTCCAAAAATTCCATCTCCTGATCAACTACTCTGCTTTGCTTAGCCTTGGACTTGTATAATAACCTTTGGGCCGAGTAGCATAAGGATATCATAAGGATATCATTCTTGAGGCCACTTTTTTCATACGCAGCAGCTTGTATTCGATTCTTCACTTGCTTACTCTGTGGCTTCATCATCAAGTTCAGATAACGATGCTACTCCTCTCCAAGGCCACACTCTCCATAAATGGAAATATGAATGAGGGAGGAGACGAAGTAATTGAATGAAAACCCTTTGCCTGTTTTGGCTTCTAGGAACCAGTTATGTTTGACTGTGTAGCATCTGGCGGTCAAGCTATGTTATTCAAACGTTGTATGCCACTCATCATGGGACGATGTGTAAAAGAGATCGATTCCCCACCAAGTGCCAGCTCTGACAAGTTCGGCTAATCCTCTTTTTGCTCCCTATTTACGCGATACAAGCCACCAGCAATCAAGAAAGCGTCATATAAAGTTGGGCATACTATAGTGCACTCGAATCTACTGGTTCCACTAATGTCATCTTCACCTTGCCTCGCTGTGTGTTCTTGTCCTTCTCAACCTCGATCCGAACCACAACTTGATCAAACACAGATATTTTCACGTCTCCTTTGGCACTGGGAACAGTAATCGTGTAGTTTTCTGCATCAAACTGCGTATCGCGCTTGAAGGTAACAAGTCCTTCTATCCCGAGTCTGCAGGTTTCAGGTGAGATCTCATATCCTTCCGGTACAAGGAAAGCAAGTGCTCACTTGGACACGAAAACACCAACACCGTTTCGGAAGGTACGGATAACATAGGCCTCTTCCTTGACCTCTCCTTCACCGCGTGCTTTCGCCGCCTCACCTCTGCCCTTTAACGCCAAACCGACATAAAACTCGACACTCGCTCGGCCAGCCATTTGAGCCATTCGATGACGCCGGTTTACAACGTCCAAAACGCGTTCAACGTGAGATTTAGAATGCAATGTCGCATGGAGGGGTGTAAAACCAATGGCAGCAGATAGCTGTCGATGAACTAGGACATCTGTCCGAGAGTGAGGGCTAGCTAAGTGATGACAGCCATGGGAACATACCAGCATATCGACGAATCGGACTCGTAAAGTGCGTGTAAATCTCGCTGGCCAGGCCATAATGACCAAACGTATCTTTCGCTACACTTCCCGAAGAGAAGTACTCTGCAGAAAGCATACAGCGAGTAGCCATGATACGAACAAGGGTGTTGAATGCAGGTTCGCTTGGATCCTAGTTGAAAGCCAATAAATTGATGGATGATATCGGACACCACGAAGACTTGAGACTTACGATGCACTTGTCCAAGGATGCTGCGAGTGCCCCGGAGCTGCTCACATCGAGAGATAACCCTTTGGTCTTACGCAGAATATCTTGGAGCTTCTCAAAGTTTGATTTCGGAGGAGGTAAATGCCGCCTGAAAGTGGATCGCGATCAACAGTCTGCCATCGAACAGGCAAAGATACTCACCGCAACACAGCAGTTTGCGGGAAGCTGGCCTCAATTTGACGGGCCACACTGATGTTGGCCAGTAACATGAACTCTTCCACCAGACTGTTAGTCTCCCGGAGCTCCTTCTGTTCTACATCTATTGGATCTGACGATTCAGCGCTGTCGAGATGAATTTTCACTTCCGGAGAAGCAAGATTCAAGGCTCCCGCTGCCATTCGCTTCTCCTTCAGCTTGATTGCAAGGGAATTGAGTAGACGGATGGAAACCGTAAGTTCATCTTGAAGATTACTAAGGATGCCATATTAGATATGGGGTGGCATTGAATAGTAAAGACATACGGGTCATCCTTGCGTAGTTGGGCTTCTTCATAAGTAAACGCAGCGTTGGATTTGATTACAGATTTTGTGAATCGCACGCTGACGATATCAGCGTCTGGTGTCAATTCCTGATATAATGTTAATGAGACGTTGGTTCGAGTAATGTAATGTAATTCCACCTACCCAGATGGAAGAGAACGCCAGCCGCTCAACAAAGGGTCTTAAAGAGCATAGATTCGTACCGAGAAGGGAGGGCAACATGTCTATGCGATTGTCGACCAAATACACTGTCGTCCCTCTAGCAGCAGCTTCAGTGTCCATGGGATTGTCGGGAAGGACAAAGTGCGATACGTCCGCAATGTCTGCAGAAAGGTTTTGTCAGAATATGCCAGCACAAGAAAAAGTTCTAAACATGACTGACGGACTCCAGCTTCGATGTTTCCATTAGGTAGCAGCCTAGCGTGAAGCGCATCGTCTATATCCTGACAATCTTCAAAAATGTTAGCAAATGCGTTTGAACCCTTGAAATTTTTAGTCGTACTAGGTGGATCAATACTGCACACAATCACATCTCTCAAATCTTCCCGGTCCCTCCAAATGTTCTGTACATCAAGTTCGCCCTTCGGGGGTACAACCCACTGGTCTCCTTCGGGAGGCAAGCAATCTAATATCGCCTTCCCAAATGGTCTATATGGTACCTCAAACTCCAACAACAGACTCTCTTGTTCAGCCTCCTTACTCTCCACCCTACCCAGAGCCCGAACAAAGTGTCCTTCAGGATAACGCGATGTACTATCCCATCGATCAATGGTAACCAGGATCTTCTGGTTCAAAAGGGTCGGCGCCTGACGGGTCCGTAGTCGAATCCTGGGGAGTAGTCGAGAAACCGGGGTGGCAAAGACGGTTTGAGTGGAAAGTGAAGTGGTAAGAGTCGAGGTTAGAGATGTGCTGTCAATATGGCACACATAAGCTCGCCAATTTCGTTTGATGACTCCAACAATACGGCCAGTAGGTTGGCGCTCAGATGATACTTTTTGACTGGAGCTTCCAGAAAGGACTCGCGATTCTTTGGCGAATACTTCTTCACCATTTTCGTCACCCTCTTCTCCAGAATCTTCGGCATCGTCATTTTTGAGAGTAGCCTCTTGATCAACGACTTCATCTGCAGGAGCCTTCCATTCCTTTTCTGCAAAGACTTCAACTACGACGATATCTCCTTGGACTGCCCGATTCATATTCTCTCGTCCGACCAAGAGAACAGGTTTGGCAAACGCTGGTACAGGGACACTACCCTTAAATTTTTGTTAGCTTAGCGTTCACCAGGAGTTGAACGACGCTTTACCTCCAAATAGTTGTACTGATTTGCATTAAAATGGCCTTGGTGAAGTGCACCAGCTTTCACACCGGCAAGTAGTGTTGAAGTAGGCAGATACTAAGAAATGCATCTCAAAACCAAAACAGTTGAACTTGGAGATAAACTCACGTTGGGATATAGAACTTGACGACCAACGGCAGCTTTTGTGGGTTCGATTCCTTGTGATCCTTCAGCGGAGAGTAGATCGAGAAGTTGATTCGCATTTTTCATGCCCTCAACATACTTGCGGACTACGTTCCGAATTCCAATTTAGCACAGAGTGATGGAAAGAAAGAAAAATCGGACCAGAAATGGAGGTTATGCCTGACTGCTCTGCTTTTTGACGATTCGCCGCGTCTTCGGTTATCAGAACAACTCTCGGGTGAGGCACCTGTGTCTGACCACGAATGGGAGGACGTGTAAGAGAGATATGGGTATTGTACCATGCCGTCGCGTTTCGAATGCCTATTGTAATATTATAGTCAATAATTAATGCG